AATGTTATCACAGACTTTAATTATGTAACTCTCGTGTTTTTAGTGTAATTTTCCCAGTTTACCGAAACGCCTCGCCTAGCGTGCAGGCCTAACGCCAAGTCTAACGCCAATAAAACAAAGTTTAGATTTAAAAGTTCAGTCTTAGTCTACACGTTCCCAACAACGTATTCCAATCTACAACCGTGTTATTTAAAAAGGGACTGTGCTCGTTTTTAAAATACGAGTTTAACTGCTGCGCGTACACAGGAAATCTGCGTACTTACCAACAATGGCAACCCTCTTCCTCTTCCGGAAGATTCCACCGCTTCTGTTTTCCCAACTGAACACGCGGAAGATATTAATCGCGTTGTCTTCCAGGTTCGGAAGAGCCTCACCGAGTCTTCTGGAAGATTCCACCGCTTCTGGTTTCCCAACTGAACGGACGGAAGACGTTCATCGCATTGACTTCCAGGTTCGGAAGAGCACCACCGAGTCTTCTGGAAGATGCCACCGCTTCTAGTTTCCCAACTGAACGGACGGAAGACTTTCATCGCATTGACTTCCAGGTTCGGAAGAGCACAACCGAGTCTTCTGGAAGATGCCACCGTTTCTGGTTTTCCAACTGAACTGACGGAAGACATTCATACAATTGACTTCCAGGTTCAGAAGAGCTCCACCGAGTCTTCTGGAAGATTCCACCGCTTCTGGTTTTCCAACTGAACTGACGGAAGACAATCATGCAATTGACTTCCAGGTTCAGAAGAGCTCCACCGAGTCTTCTGGAAGATGCTACCGCTTCTGTTTTCCCAACTGAACACGCGGAAGATGTTCATGGCATTGACTTCCAGGTTCGGAAGAGCACCACCGGGTCTTATGGAAGATGCCACCGCTTCTGGTTTCCCAACTGAACACGCGGAAGATATTAATCGCGTTGTCTTCCAGGTTCGGAAGAGTCCCACCGAGTCTTCTGGAAGATTCCACCGCTTCTGGTTTCCCAACTGAACGGACGGAAGACATTCATCCAATTGACTTCCAGGTTCGGAAGAGTCCCACCGAGTCTTCTGGAAGATGCCACCGCTTCTGGTTTCCCAACTGAACAGACGGAAGACATTCATCCATATGACTTCCAGGTTCGGAAGAGCACCACCGAGTCTTCTGGAAGATGCCACCGCTTCTGGTTTACCAACTGAACGGACGGAAGACATTCATCGCATTGACTTCCGTGTTTGGAAGAACCCCACCGAGTCTTCTGGAAGATTCCACCGCTTCTGGTTTCCCAACTGAACAGATGGAAGACATTCATCCAATTGACTTCCAGGTTCGGAAGAGTCCCACCGAGTCTTCTGGAAGGAGCCACCGCTTCTGGTTTCCCAACTGAACGGACGGAAGACAATCATCCAATTGACTTCCGAGTTCGGAATAGCCTCACCGAATCTTCTGGAACATCCTCAGAATTTTCATTTATTCTGCACAAATCCGATGAGCGCTGAAGCTTTTTCTTTCTCACAGATGTTCAGTAGATTCACACGTGTCGTTGTATTTTGTAAATATATTTCAGGTCCGAAATAAACTCCCCAAAATGTTTCCAGATTTTGTAGACCCTTCAGAAATTGTCTCATATCCACGTAAAAAGTATGGATTATAGGATTTTTTTAAATTAACATACGCTAGCCTCAACTGGCTCAATACCCCATCTGTTCTCCCCGCAATACAAGCACACAACAGCATCAACAACTTCGTTCTGTGTCTCCACGTAGGTAGCTATGTTTAGTCCATCAACCTATTGACATTCCAGAACAATATTTTAATCAGCAGCAGCATTTGTTTAAGCAAACACAACTTTGGACGGATGTCAACCGTTTGAGTCTCATCAGCGTCAATGTCTAACGTGTTAAGCGAAATGCAATTGGGTTAGCAGATGTTTATTGAATTTCGATTTAAAGCTTTCGTGACTGCAGGGATTCATCTTGGTTCTTTCGGTAAAGTACTTCCCTTCTACGTGACTTTACCGAAAGAACCAAGAAGATGTTTATTGGCCAGCACTCCCACAAAGTGCAGCATGACATTTTTTTAAATCGAAAACTAATTACTTTAGAACTGCTTTTGTGTTTAGTTTGTTGTCCTTCCCCGCACCTCCGATAAACACGGTTGGCTTTTGTACTGCGCGAAAGAAATTCAACATACATACATAAATCCCCTAGACACCTTTGCGAACGAAATTTTCCACCTCAAGGGATTATTAGTCAGGTTCATGAAATATTCGAATTACAGTCCGTAATTAAATTGTGTTGCTCCATTTGCCTTGCTGCTCGGCTAAATGGCCCCCTCTATCGGTGAGAATTTTGTATTATCTTCTTGGTTCTTTCGGTAAAGTCACGTAGAAGGGAAGCAACAAAATAATACAAATAAAACATAATAAAATAATTTTCACGACGTTTCGGCAACAACGCAAGCAGCCGTCCTCAGGTGAAGACTAGGTCTGTCATTCAGACGCTGTCTCCCCGACAGACCTGGTCTTCACCTGAGGACGGCTGCTTGCGTTGTGGCCGAAACGTCGTGAGAATTATTTTATTGTTTTATTTTTATTATTTTATTACTTCCCTTCTACGTGACTTTACCGAAAGAACCAAGAAGATGAATCCCTGTAGTCACGAAAGCTTTAAATCGAAATTTTGTATTAATTTATGCAGTGAAGAATTCTCTGACACCTAGCGCTGTTTATACCCAAGGTGTCACGAGGGATATATTTGTTTTAATAAAACGAAAAAAAAAGGTGCAGCCATGAAATGTCTTGCTCTAATGAAGCCGTCATACAGGGTGTTCTTAGACTACTTTAACCAAGCTTACTCTCAACTCTTATTAGCACGGTTGGTCACGTGCTTTGCGAAAGAAGTGAATAATGATGGGTTATTAAACCAAAATAATATCAGCTCTTTCTAGATTTGAAGCTTTCGTGACTGCAAAAAATATATAATTAAAAGATTTGAAGCTTTCGTGACTGCAAGGATTCATATTCTTAGGTTTTTTTCCGGTAAAGTCACGTAGGTAAAACATCAAAATTAATAAAAATAAAACAATAAAATCACGACGGTTCGGAGGCAACACAAGTCTCCGTCATCAGGTGGGACCGTCACAGCCAGATGCAGCTAATCTGGCTGTGACGGTCCCACCTGATGACGGAGACTTGTGTTGCCTCCGAAACGTCGTGATTTATTATTTTATTTTATTTCCATTATTACTTTTATTAACTTTTAATGCTAATTTTTTTTTACCTACTTGACTTTACCGAAAAAAACTAATAGTATATCAGCTCTCAATCCACTCCTGGATGGGTCCCCCCACACACACCGTGTCAATAATGGAGATTGTTTGGCCACACTTCGCCGTGCTGGTCCGTGCGGATTGGTGATCGGTGCACGAAAGATCGTTCAGACATCACTGGCCAGTGATGATAACAACAACAACAACAACGACGTCCTTTATCTTCTTGGTTCTTTCGGTAAAGTCACGTAGAATGGAAATAATAAAATAATAAAAATAAAACATAAAAAAATTATTCTCACGACGTTTCGGCCACAACGCAAGCAGCCGTCCTCAGGTGAAGACCAGGTTTGTCGGGGAGACAGCGTCTGAATGAAACACCACCACGCTTGGAGCGTATATTTAAGCTGCTGGGTTCATTCAGACGCTGTCTCCCCGACAGACCTGGTCTTCACCTAAGGACGGCTGCTTGCGTTGTGGCCGAAACGTCGTGAGAATTATTTTATTATCTTTTATTTTTATTATTTTATTATTTCCATTCTACGTGACTTTACCGAAAGAACCAAGAAGATGAATCCCTGCAGTCACGAAAGCTTTAAATCGAAATTTAACGTCCTTTATACCCAGGAACGCGTCTCCCGAGTCTCATGACAGGGACTTGCATTGGGATGTTTGGTCAATTCCGTTGCTGAGAGTTTGGTTTCGTGTGATAGTATGCAGAACACCACCATGGATTTGAAGGTATAACCACACTAGAAAAAATTCCGCACCAATTGATTAAAGAATCAATTGATTCAATAATCAATTGATTCAATAATTATATTATCCATTCTATTTGGTTCTTTCGGTAAAGTCACGAAGGTAGAACATTTAAATAAAAAAAAGACATTTCATTTTTTAATAAAAATTTTCTACCTACGTGATTTTACGGAAAGAACCAAAGAGTGGATTCCTGCAGTCACGAAAGCTTCAAATCAATAATTAATTATATCAATCGCTGTGCAGCACTGCAGCCCTCTACTGGCGCTGAAGAATTTGCAGCATTTAACGATCACACGACTGTGTTTAAAAACTAAGATATTTTTTGTCATAATATAGGTCTTTTGGGTTAGATGGCGTAAATACAAATGTGTCGTTAAACCCGCCACCACCCGGCACAAGCCAATTAGTAAGGTGTGTCACCTATAGGGGCCGTCCATAAATGACGTCACGCGATTTTGGAAGATTTTTGACCCCCCCCCGTCGTCACGCGGCGTCACAAAAAGTCAGACCCCCCCCCCACCTCAAATATGACGTCACAAAGCTCTGCCCCCCCCCCCCCCCCAAAATAAAACATTCTTCAAATCGCTTCAAACTATTGTCATTGTAGTACGTATTTAATGTGGCGCTGCACTCTGATATTGTAGGAGAAAACATTTATTAAAAAGTCGATTGAATTAAGTAGAACGTGTTTGTCTATATTCATTTAAAGTTGCGCATTTTGATGTGACGTCACATTTCTCACCACCCCCCTCGTCACACATCGTCACAAATGTCTGACCCCCCCTCTAGGTGCGTGACGTCATTTATGGGAGGGCCCCTTAAACAGACGAAACACCTCGCTGTGCAGAACTTTAACAAACACTGCCATTCTCTTTAGACGCGTCACACCGGCCACCAATGCGACAAACTGCACAAATAAACAGAACTATCAGGGCAACCGGTCACATTTAAAACAAATGACACACACTTTTTTTGGTATGTGCTCAACAAATATACTGAGAGTTTAATTCAACGGAGTTAATTTCATAGCTCACACTGACCGACGCGTTTGGAATTCATAGTGCTGATAAGCGCGTACGGTAAAGTGAATACAATAAAGTACATTCCGTGAGGCGATTTAAGATAACTTTTTAGCTTATCTTGAGGACATTTATTGTACGATAATGCGGATTGTACCACAATTGACTTCACTGCGTTATAAAGTGTGTAATATTGCATTTTATAAAGGTACACAGACCGACATTAGATTCCGTAGCGCTAATAGGGAATGGACACCACATTTCGTAGTGTGCATACACAGAGGTTAAGTGTGCAAACGGCATTACAATTGGTAACACTGATAGGTAATCGACATTACATTCTGTAGCTCACATAAGCCCGAAGACCATTTTTATGGATTTTTTTTAACACATTCCAATGTTAATTTTGTAGACACGAACTAGGGACAATTGCAAGTTGACAAATATGCAAGTTACAACGCACAAAGGGAATTGCATAATATTACAAAGTACATCATTTGGTATTTAGATTTACAATTCATAAGACGAACACGCATTCAGCATTGGATTTTATAGAGATTATACAGAAATGGCACTTTAATACTGCAAAACATTTTCTCCAATGTTGAGCAAACCACTGTCCAGAGCCCACTTACAAATGTTTCACACAGTACCAAGATGTACTAAATTGCTACAGCGCACGTTAAACACAATATGCACCTCCAGACATTTTCCATCCACTGCTCCATTACAAAGCAATTGTCCATTGGTGATATATTGCTCAACCTCCGCTGCCTCCTTCAAGTGTCAACTACGAGGTCCACCTTCACAGACACTCCACCTTTCACTGCCATGTTCCCACCATAAACGCTCCCCTCGGTTCATCTTCGCTGTGCGATGGACACCACGACTCGAGTTCCCCCTTCTGCGATCCACATCTCTCATTTACGCACTCCACCCACGACTTGAAGCCTTGCATCTCCATTCCGCGCGTCTCATCTGCGCAGGCAGTGTCTTCAGATGCACACCTGACATCAAGTCACATTTAAATCTCAAGATTCTGGTTTCATTTCACACTTCAAATGTTCGTGCCCAAAGTGGCGTCCCTCTCAAATCACGTTCCAGGTTCTCGTATAAAAATGTCACACCTCAAAAAGAAGTCTTCCCCCTCCATCCCAGGTCATAAAACTTCATGCCCAAGTCAAACACCTTAAGCCCTCTTCATGGCATCTAAAATTTCACGCCCCAGATTGTGGTCGCGAATCCATGTTTTGCATTCTTGTCCACTTTGTTTGTCATTCATTCCAGTGTCGCTCGATTAGAATTGTACTGTTATTCCAGGAAATTCGTTTTCCTTATTACGTCCACTCAATTTTTGGCTATGGCCAAAACAAACACGATCGCCACCTTCCAGGTTGGTGCAATCACACTCAGCTCCATTCCATGACCTCCTTGAATAGCGATTCTTGAACCTCACCGATCGCACGCCACACCGCATTTGGGCGAATTGATGGCATTCGTTGCATTTCATGAAATCGGATGGGCGCCTACGTTTCAGTGATAGTAGAGACGACAAAAACAGGTGAACGAGTCACATTTGAAGGATATAGCATAACTACACTATCGATACAAGGCAGACCAGACACCACATATTCTCAAGCAGTTATGTATATTAGGTAATGCCCACGCCACGTTTAATGGGAAAACTTGAATGAGAAACTTAGCATAGATTTACTGAAAAAACCCAAACGCAATTCACGTGCGCAGTGCTTTTGGATAATAATGCACCAACAATAACACTGCAGCTCTGTTCGAAACACTGGTGCTCTGAACACAACCACAGAACTCCTCTTATCCGTGGTCCTATTATCCACGACTCGTATTATCTGCACGAGTCCACAAAAACCTCATCATCCGCAACCATTTCCTACAAATAATTCTGGATAACACCGCGACTAATAGGATCCATGATATTGGTCCATCACAGAATCATGGATAAGAGAACTTTCCCTGGACCGTCTTGCGAGTCACCAAAATTGGATAGTGATTTACAAGAGGTCAGCCAATGGCCATAAAGGGTTTTGGTCACATGCTACCTGGCTATACTCAACTATTTTATAGAACAAAAGTCCCAAAGTAACCGTTAGCAAAATTAACTCAATTTCCCCACTATCTTGAACAGTCACTGCCAAGTTTGATTTTTTTCCTATTATTAGTTTGAAAATAGGCTTGGTGGTAAACAGCTGATGCAAATTGCTTGAGGAAGGTTTGTCTATATTGATGGAATGTTTAGGGCGAGGATTTTTCTCTGGTGGAAGAGAGCCTGTAACGCCACGTAAAATAGATATATGCTGCATATATTTACATGCTGTGTTGTATACATAACACATGCTACGTGTGGGTTTATAATACAGTTGCAACTCGAGACAAATATATTGCACCATTGACTTTAAGGTGGAAATTCGTTCCTCTTGAATTGTGACTTAATCTCCCAAGTCACGTGTAGTCTTTGCAAGGGATTATTTAACCAAGCCATGTCCGATTGCTGCAAATACATAAATACGGATAATCAAATTTGCCAAGCCAAAAAACAAATTAAAACGTACCATAACCCAAGCTAGCAAGCCTTGGGTTGGTGCATCAGTTGAGACTTCTAGGATTTAGGAGATGCAGATTCCGAGTCTTAGGAAGAGTTATGGTGCAGACTTGTGTATTGATTTATGCCACTTCTGCTGAAAATTTTAAACAAAAAAACTTGAGATTAATATGTCATTGCTTTTAGGTCCAATTGATATTCTTGGTTTGTTTAAAAATTGTTGATTGACTTTTCCCCCTTTCAAGACAAATTCTGCACCACGCAATAAGACGATCAACCAACGCGATGACAAACAAAATGTTGAAGCTGTAAGTAGCAAATAAAAACGGTTTTAAATTAGTTCCCAAAGGAAAATATAAATATACAAATAAATAAGTAAAAAAATACAAATGTCAAAATCAGCGCAACTGCAATTAACATTGATATTGTAATAATAAAGCATCACAAGGGTGGTAATAATTCAAAAAACATAAAGTTGGTTTCAATAAAAAAGCGGTAATGTAAACATATAAAATGGTATTGAATAAATGCAGATGTCAGTTAAACTGCAGCACCATTCAACATGGGGAACAGGCAACACAAAACAACTCCCGCACAAGCGACAAACTATACCGAGGCACATTTGCAGCAGTTCTCAATCTTCAAGCAAACACCTGAAGCATTTAAAGTCTCGCGCTGCGTGGCCACCCGAATTAATCTTCACAAATTGGACACAGCGTTTCCCACCAAAACAAACATCCATGGCCGCACTAACGCGTTCTCAAATTTGAGCGATTGCTACACACGGGCAAAGAAAAAAAACCCACATGCACCCCCCCCCCCCCTTATTTCCGCAACAATTTTTTTTATTTTTTTGCCCTTTTTTACGAGCGACGATAACCACTTCAGTTAACCGTAATAATTCTAAACGGCCGTAATATTAATATGTAAAAAAACGTAAGAAACTTTTTTTTCGTAAAATAAAAAACTCAAAAATAGTGGGGCACTCGCAATAAGTAGGCCACGTGACCTCGTGCAAATTTCATTTGTTTTTGCACTGTAGGGCAAACCAAATACTAAAAAAAAATGTTAACGTAAATAAAAGATTTTACAAAAACAACTATTTGTACAAACCCCCGTGGCCAAAACTTAGACATTATTTCACATGTCTCCAACCAGCACAGACTTTGTTGCACTGTAGCGCCCACCCAAATAAACCCTGAAAAGCAAAAATATTTGTACAAAAACTTAAACGATCACAGCAGAGATTTTCTCAAATGTTCAAGACATTTTCTCCATTGAGCACAATACAAGGACCATTTTGTTCTGCGGGGCTTTTACGATCCTAGAAACGAAAAACGGACATAAAAATGGCCGTGTTGAAACGTTTACATGCCGTCTTCCACTGCGTGTTGTTCGGTGCAGTGTCTGACGTTTTGTTTCGAGGAATGTCTGCCGCACGTGGAGACGACACGTCAGACATCGTGCCCTACAACACAAGGTACGACTCGAACAAACCAGGGAGAGTTGTAGCGGCACAACCGCAAAATTCTACGCAGTTTAAATCTTGACGATGCTGCTCGTGGTGGTAGTGGTGTTGGCATAGTGCTGTCCGCTGGCCAGTTTGGCATCGCTGGTTATTGTTGTTGTGGTTGTTGTGGCTGTTGTGGCAGGGTTGATGTCAGGGCTCGACCTCGAATTTCCTCGTCACCGTGAACCCTCTTCTCTTCTTCTGCTCCAAACGCATCTTCTGCCTTAGCGGCCCCAGCTCTGCAACGCACGGCAACGATGGCAATTGACAATACATCATCGACGTGTTGTTTGTGCACGTGTGTGGGGGTTACACCGATGCTAATGTGACATGCCCTGGTAAAGGGTGCTATACAAATCCTAAATTAGAATCTGTTTGTTCATGTAAGAGTGCTATGGGTGGGTGGAGCCTATATTTATTAATCGTTTCTACAAAAAACATAGTTTTGTAATCTGTATCAGGATTAGTCTGTCGGAGCTGCAGGGAATTTAATATTTAGCTTCGATTTTACAGTGATTTATATTTGAGCAATACTTTCCATGCCTCGTAGGAATGCAAATTTTATTCCCCGATTGCTATTTACCTAATTGCGCCGCTTGGTTTTGACTTTCTTCATTTAGGGGACGTTGGTTACCGCCTGGTCTGTCGAACTCTCACTTGGCTTGAACTTAATAATCTTGAAACTTAAAACACGCGCGCATGTCGAGGCGCGGTTCAATTCAGATGCCTCTATATACGACCGAATTATAAAAGTGCACGCGTGTGGTTCATGTTAATGATTGTGTGGACGTGTGAAAGTTGAAACCGATGCGGTAACGGTGCCCTCAGATTACACATTTAAAATGTATCGTAATGTTGATAATGATCAACGTATTCATGATAAATGCCAAATAGTATTACTATTTCGCAAGCAGGCTGACATACAACCCAATACAGCGTGTTGTCAATGTATAAATGCATTGGCGATTATTGTTCATCAAGCGCTGTCGAGGACACGCGTGTTAATGCGTCGGTTATATAATACCAGCAGTGATTAAATGGAAACGCAATAACGGTGACAACGATGGAAATCTACCGATCGTATCAACGATTACAATTGCATCAAACGCGGGCGACGTCATCGATGACGAGGATGATGACGAGGATGATGACGAGGATGATGACGAGGATGATGACGAGGATGATGACGAGGATGATGACGAGGATGATGACGAGGATGATGACGAGGATGATGACGAGGATGATGACGAGGATGATGACGAGGATGATGACGAGGATGATGACGAGGATGATGACGACGACGATGACGAGGTTGATGACGATGACCATTGTCAATGATCCTCACCGTCCCCGGGGCAAAACCTGGGCTGCACGAGGCAGCGCTGAGTCTGCTCGAGTGGCGGGCAGTGCTGCCCTTGGGGGGAGGGGGCCCTGGTCACACCACGTCTCCTCTCCTGGGCCCCCCACTTGAAGCCGCACGTCTTCCCCCTCCGTTCGCACGCGGACCATGCTCCCCACGTGGACACCTCGCAGTCCACTGCGGGTTCAAGCAGCAGCAGCAGTAGCAGCATTATCGTCCTCGCCAAACCACCAAGACGACCACCACCGGCATCATTCACATTAACCTCAGAAGCATCCATCACCATCAGCGTCAGCAGTGGCATGACCACGAGTATAATAATAATCATCATCATCATAACCATCAGAATCAGGCTCAGCAGCATATCGTAGAGTAGCAGCATCCACTGAATTGCTGTCATCCTCAGAATAAACCAGCAACATCATCGAGTAGCACACCAAGTGCATCACCAGCACAACAATCACGAATTTCACCTACACCAAGGCAGCAATCCAATTTCGACCACGCGCAGAGAGCACCTCCGCAGCGACTAAATTTAAATATAGCGTGCATCATTTCAGGGTTACTCACGTCCCCCTCATGCCCCCCTGCCCCCCCGCCCCCACCAGTGCCCCCCCCGCCCCCACAAGTGCTCAGAGTCGTGTCCCCCTCCCACTACACCTTTCCACACCCACAATTTCCCCATACTACATGTGGCCAGGTCGTGTCAGATGTCCGTTCAGTAATAAAATCATAAACAAGCAAGAGTCTCTCTCAGCATGAAATGACAACAGCATTCCACTCCCACAGTCGATGCACCTTCTGGACCAATATTTTCCAGCAGAGCTTGCAGTTTAGGCGATAAACTTTGGACCAGTGGTGGGTTTTTCTTTTTCAGACGGGCCACACACACTGCTGATGACACTCTCGTCACGTTAGAAACCAGCCCAGGGATTGCTAATGGGAAAAAAAAAACAACTTTGGTCCAAGAGAATCTTAATTCTTTTCGGAGCCAAAAGTCAACTTTTTTTTCATACGGCAGAAACTGACCCTTGCCCCCTTTACGATTTTATTACGGACGCTGCCGGCCCGCGTGTGGGGACACGGCAAGGATGACGGCAATGCAGGCAACAAGAGCAAACTCCACGAACCAGCTGCGGCTGTGAAGACGCGAGGGCGTTTGTCGAAGTTGGCGATGCCACCGCTGGTGGTTGCGGTGGTGGTGGTGGAGCGGTTAGTGCGCTGCGCTCAGAACCAGCGACCAGATTGAGATTCCCACTCGCGGCCAAAACCAGTGACGATTTTCTGGACCCGTCCAGGGCCTCCCCTAGGTCGACTCGGCCTCAAATGTGTACCTGGTGCAGTGTGTGAACATTGCCCCTAGGGATAGAAAAGACGGCTGGGCGTGGGGTGCCCACCACCCACCACGTTCGGTCTTCAAAAAAGGTGCTCGCTAACAGCACTTGCCCCAACAGTCTGTTGAGGCTATACGGGGGATATTTGTCTTTATCTTTGGTAGTAGTAATAGGGAGGGGTGCCCTACAAACGTTTGCCCCTAGGTCATGGCCAACTTCTGTGGGTAGTGACATCTCAACCAGTTCTGGGCCTCCCTTGGGTCAACTCAGCCTTAAAATTACAACCTGGTACGGGATGCGAACATCAGCACTGGCGAGCCAAAGGTCACTGGCCAGGCATGGCACCGACCACACCACTTCTCGGTGTGCCTCACCGGCATCAATAGATCTTCGCTAAACCGCACTTGTACCCAACGGCCTATAATATGGCTATATGGTGAACAATTGCCTTGGGTGGTGGCGGTGGTGATGTTTATGGTTTTGTTAACGTGGTCAAACAGACCCTTGTCTGTTTATTATTTTATTATCCACAATATTCCACAAACGACACCCCCCCCCCAGCGTGTCTCCAGTATACCAGCGGGCAGACCTGGTTGTGGCTGTGCCCCCCCCCCCCCACTTCCCATATCCCAATGGCTCGGTTTGTCACTGCAGTAGTTGGGTCCCCGTGTCGCGATCCGTACGAGCAGGCAGGCCGGTCCACATGCATCGTGTCCCCCCCCATGTCTTCCTCTCTCGTCATTCCATATGGTTGAATGTATGCAAGTTGAAAATGCATTTGGTTTAAACACTTTGCCTTTCGCGACTAATATAATTCATAATTTAAAGTTTTTGGGTTAGGTGGCGTACGTAGCCAAACCATGATAATCAGAGATGGTAGCGCGCGTTCCTCTCGTCCCAATGACCTCCCCATGTCCATATCCCCCATTCCCCCCCCGCCCCCCCCACCCAGCGTACCTGTGGGGAGACAGTCCTGCGTGCGGTTGTCGCCCTCGTGTCCGCTGGGACAGCCGCTCCCGCAGCGGCCACGGTGCAGGAAGTGTCCGCGTGAGCAGCGCGTGCAGAACGAGTGGCCGAAGCAGCTGTCGCAGTGCGGGACCTGGCAGCCTGCGTGGACAGTGGGCGAGTGTTAGCGAGCGCCTAGTAAGGTCAGCATGGCGAGCGGGCGTGTCGGCAAGCGCCTAGCGAGGCCTGCACGGCAGGCCGACAAGTATAGAGCGCGCTTGCCGAGGTCGGCCAACAGCAGCTGGCAGCGCCGAGGAGCTACTGGGTGAAGTTCAGGTGAGTGCAGTGGGGACCGCAAGGTCATGTCGGTTAAAGGTCAGGGCTCGCAGTTCAGCGAGGTCATCTTCTTGGTTCTTTCGGTAAAGTCACGTAGAAGGGAAATAATAAAATAATAAAAATAAAACATGATAAAATAATTCTCACGACGTTTCGGCCACAACGCAAGCAGCCGCCCTCAGGTGAAGAACAGGTCTGTCGGAAAGACTTATTTTATTACGTTTTATTTTTATTATTTTATTATCTCCCTTCTACGTGACTTTACCGAAAGAACCAAGAAGATGAATCCCTGCAGTCACGAAAGCTTTAAGTCGAAGTTCAGCGAGGATTTGGTGAGCACGGGTCACCAAAGACAAGTGAGAGGTTAGTGGAGGCAGGGCGGTGTAAATCAAGCTCGTGGAGACCAGTACAGGACACTGCAGTGCAGCCAGGGGTATGCGAATTCAGTGAAGGCCGCCAGGTCAATGTAGCACACTGCAATGGGACGCATCTCGAGGAGGGGGGGGGGGGGGGGGCAACATGTCTGGAGGAAGAGGGGAGGGGGGGGGACGTGCGTCTCAGAGGAGTGTGGGTGGTGTCGTATCTCGAGGAGTGTTGGCGGGGTCGTATCTCGAGGAGCGTGGGTGGGGTCGTATCTCGAGGAGTGTGGGGGGGGGGCAACACGTCTGGAGGAAGAGGGGGGGACGTGAGTCTCAGAGTAGTGTGGGAGGGGTCGTATCTCGAGGAGTGTGGGTGGGGTCGTATCTCGAGGAGTGTTGGTGGGGTCGTATCTCGAGGAGCGTGGGTGTGGTCGTATCTCGAGGAGTGTGGGTGTGTTCGTATCTCGAGGAGTTTGGGTGGGCTCGTATCTCGAGGAGTGTGGGGAGGGGGAGAGGACGTGCATCTCAGAGGAGTTCTGGAGGGGTCGTATCTCGAGGAGTGTGGTTGTATCTCGAGGAGTGTGGGTGGGCGCGCTGCTCACGCATGCAGCGGTGCGCGATGGCGCTGCGCTGTCCGTAGTGTCCGGCGGGGCAGGCGAGGAGGCACTGGCCCAGGTGGCGCATGCCCACGCGCTGCAGGTGGAAGAAGAGGCGCGGCGCGCACAGCAGGCAGCCGTTGGCGGCCGAGCAGACGGAGCAGCCCCGCGGGCACGAGAGCAGCGGCCTCCCCGCCGACAGACCTGGTCACAGCAGCAGCCGGGGCAGGGCAAAGACAAAGACACACACCGCCACCCCGATTTAAAGCTTTCGTGACTGCAGGGATTCATCTTCTTGGTTCTTTCTTTCGGTAAAGTCACGTCGAAGGGAAGTAATGCAATGATAAAAATATAAACGTAATAAAATAATTCTCAACGACCGTTTCCGGCCACAACGCAAGCAGCCATCCCTCGGGTGAAGACCAGGTCTGTCGGGGAGACAGCGTCTGAATGAACCCAGCAGCTTAAATATACGCTCCAAGCGTGGTGGTGTTTCATTCAGACGCTGTCTCCCCGACAGACCTGGTCTTCACCTGAGGACGGCTGCTTGCGTTGTGGCCGAAACGTCGTGAGAATTATTTTATTATGTTTTATTTTTATTATTTTATTACTTCCCTGCTACGTGACTTTACCGAAAGAACCAAGAAGATACACCCCCCCCCCCGTATAGCTGCAACAGACTGTAGGGGCAAGTGCTGTTAGCGAGCACCTATGAAGGTCGGAACGGTAAACGAGGGGGTGGGTTGCCAGCACCACGCCCGACCGCCTTTGTCTCCCCAGTGGCGATGCATACACACCGCACCAGGTACTCATTTGAGGCCGAGTCGACCTAGGGGAGGCCCAGGACCGGTTCAGATAATCGTCACCTGGTGTTGACCGTGAGCGGGAATCGAAGCCGGGTCGCAAGGTTCGTAGCTCAGCGCGCTAACCGCTGCACCACCACTCCAGGACACACACGGTCACACGTGCGGTGGGGGCGATGGGTCTTCCACACGGCCATGGGAAATCACACGTGGTGGGGGGGGGGGGGATTGGTCACGTGCAAGTGATGCAACCGGTAGGTTAGATTCCCACGTGGTCACCGATGGATTAAAGATCACATCACCGCATCTACATAGAACTGCGATTCCAAAGCCTCACTCTACAAGAGCCCAAACTACGAAAACATAATTATAAAAATCAAAGTGACGGTTCTTGTTGTACAAGCTCCGGGCATGAAGAGTGAACTAAATAAACGGTGCGTGCCTTAGCCTGGCTCTACGAGCCTCCGACAAGAACTGTGAACCCCTATCAGTGCTAAGAATGCCTTGGCCTACACATCTCAGGCATTAATGCAAAGCCACACAGATCGAAGAGTGACAAGGATTTGTTTACGAGGATTCCAGTCACAGGCATTAACGTCGAGAACATTAACACAAAAAAACTGGCTTGATTTAGCTCGAAGCCTCGTATATCAACACCGAAGCTTTTTTAGGCTTCTTCAGACTGCCAAAGAGCCTCGGGTATCAGCAGCGAGCGGTACACGACTCGTACGAGTGCCTGGCTCTAGGAACCTGGGGGCTTGTGAGACAGACCCACAAGGATTGTTGCGGTGCAAGATGAACTCGTGAGAGGTTGATCCACTCACTTCTCCGGGTCCTGTAGGGGAGGTGCGGCGTCGTGCCCTCCCGCGACCCCACAGCGAGCGCGACAGAGTCGATGAGCAGCAGGGCAACAGTCAGCACCAGCAGCCGCCTCATCGTGAAGAGGACGGAGGTGGCGAGGACGACGACGGAGACGACGTTGTTGTTCGACGATGACGGGAGGTCTCCTCCCGGCTCCTCCTCTGCTCAGTGCCGAGTTGCTGTCATCACGGGCACTGCGCAGAGCAGTCCAGACAGAGGCCCTCAAAGTTTTTACGTGGACGGACGGAGGCTCGAGAGGGGACGGGTAGACGAACGGTAGAGGGCTAACGTTACAGGGCAGATGAAAGGACAAATCGGGAGATGAGCACGTGGACAAAATGACAAGCGGACGTATTACCGGACAGATGGACGCATGGGCATTGTACCGCCATACGGATGGGTACGGTTATACGGGTGAACGGAAGGACAAATACACAAGCACAAAGATGGACAGCTCAAAAGACAGGCGTAGATGAACAGAAATGGATGAACACATGTACAGGCTACCTGCAAACGAGACTCCTACGAGTTTTCACCTGATTAAAACATGTGAACGTGACCAGACAAGATCAAGAGAGTGGAGAGACGGACAACCAATTCCCGATGTATGTATCGCTGTTATCCAGGAAAACCTAAAACTCCACACCTTTTTTTCCTCCCCAATGCTCATGGACCACCATCACCAACCACCTTGCCAGGTGTGACTATTCTATGGCCGGGTGAACCTGGATGGAGACCCCACAGCATGATCTGGATAACAAATCTACCATCGAATGGATAGACGGATGAATGAAATGTGAGTGCAGCGATGAAGAAACCCACAGCACGTGGAGCCGAAACGGACATGACACCAAACACCACATAAGTAAAAAAATGTACCCGTAAAAACAAAGTTTATCACTCCAAATCCTTTATATGCGTGGCGGCTAGAGTCCTCGCGTCCTCTGGCTTGAGATGGCTGCCACCTATGGGTCAGATGATTGTCTGCCACCATTAAGCAATTGGTAACTAAATATTTATTTATTTTCCCCTAAACGGTGTAAAATTTAGGAAAAATTTTTTCACGAAAATTAATTGTCACGCACAACGAGTCTGTGTGCAAAATGTCAGCTCGATTGGATCACTGGAAGTGGGTTAAAAAACGACCGAAAGATTTGCACGGTCGTAAGCAAGCACGCAAGCACGCAAGCAAGCAAGCGAACTTAATATAAAGGATTTAAAAAAACACGGGACAGCTCAGAATAATATTTGGCCGACGCCACGGTCAGGAATCGAACCCAGGCTGCTTCTGTGAGATTACACAGAATGAGCCGATAAAAGCGCAAATGTAACTTCCTGGTCATCAACATGTCTCCTTCGTTCGCCTCGACCACCGGTCCCATCGACCCCATACTATAGTCATCGACTATTAACGTTACACAGGCAATGAAGAGCCTCCAACTATAACGCGTGTATGTTGAACTTCTTTCGCACCGTGCGTAGCCAAAACGTGCTCATCGGAGGGAGGTGCGGGGGAAGGACAGACTAAACACAAAGGAGTTTTAAAACATTCGATTGTCAATATAGATTTAAAAGTGCATACGTCCCAGCGACTTCCCCAACTACTGCCCGTTCTCCAATCCCACGCGTTCCTCTCCTCGTGTCTCAGGAATATTTTTTGTCCCGCTTCCAAACTTGCATCTCCAACACAGAAGTTAATTACCACTTGGCATGTACCAGAGGTCGCAAACGGGTTTTGATTCCTTACCCGTACCCGGCCGCACCAGGGTACCCGTTCCCTACCCGTATCCCTACCCGAAATGAGTGACAAACGGTTACTCACCAGTGACTCACGGCCTACCCGTACCCGGCCACACCAGGGCCGTACCCGGGTACCCGTTCCCTACCCGTACCCTACCCGAAATGAGTGACAAACGGTTACTCACCAGTGACTCACGGCCTACCCGTACCCGGCCTTACCAGGGTACGGGTAGCCGGGTATCGGGTAGGGTACGGGTATCGGGTACCTGGGTTGCGACCTCTGGCGTGTACCTTGTTGTGCGGGAGCAGTGGCGTGGCACTGGCACTCTGCGCTACGAGTTCCATTCCCCCGGGGTCACGGGTAGTAACATCAACCTCCCCCCTGTTCACGTCACCTCGGAATCCACACGACAGTAACGAACGGCGAGTGGTGAAGTATGGTCAAACTCCCATCGAGATGAAAACCACCACGTTCCTACACGACGTGGGAGGGAGACCCAAAACACTGCATTTAAATGCTCTTTAATATAAATATTGTACTTCTCAGCGGATCATAATCGGAAGGAGATAACCCCCCCAACAGGATTCTGTTGACCTCGCCCATCATCCATCTCTGCAGAATCGATCAAGACGAGTACCACTTTGTGGCGGGGAGGTGGGGGTAGTTCACGAGTTGAACAGAGCGAAAGACGCGCCACCCTCGCCATAGAATTGTGGAATTTCCACCACCGGCCTCAAGGGTGTACAACTAATTTAAAATATAAACCGACCGACTCTGCCCCATCGTCATAACCAATAGTTACCATTAAAGTATAGTATTCACGATTCTAAAAACACAGTACACACACACACACACAACTACCTTGCCCGACACTTACCACGATGCACAACCAAACACAAAGATCCCCCTTATAGCAGAGGCAGACCCTTGGGGCGGTTAGCGAGAACCTATGAAGGCCGGCACGGCACAAGAGGTGGTGGGTGGCCAGCACCACGCCCGGCCGCCTTTGTATCCCCAGTGGCGATGTTTACTGCACACCGCACGAGGTGCAGTGCTCATTTGAGGCAGAGTCGATCACGACGGACACTCACACACAGAATCACACACACTCACTCAAATCACACACACACACACCACAACAACAACCGCCATTCGCCACTAAGTGGCGGTGACGTCACCACGACGCTTGTGCCAGGCTATGTGCACCTTGAGGCTACCACGTGAAGTGTCGAACGCCCGCCGGCAGGAGGTCACGGGGCAGACCCAGCAGGTGCCACGGGTCGACTGACCGAGATGACCGAGATGACTGGCTGATGCGCCACCTGTGCCCCTACTGTGCCAACTTGCTGTGCTTTAGCCACCCGGCGCTCCGCTCGTTGTTGTGAGCGTCGCTCCTCCGCTCTCCGTTGTTGTTGGAGGGCGACTGCCTCCAACTGCCCAGTAGCAGCGTCCTTCACGAGCCTCCTCCACAGAGGCCGATCTTGACACCGCTGGTACCAATCATCGGCAAGTCCACTCCAAGCTTATTAGTTACAGGTTTATGTTTAATTCGTGGTTTCGTGGTAATTAATTGAACACACACACACTCACAGAAACACACATAATCACACACTCACAGAATCACACAATCACACACTCACAGAATCACACATAATCACACTCACAGAATCACACATAATCACACTCACAGAATCACACACAATCACACTCACAGAATCACACACAATCACACTCACAGAATCACACACACAGAAACACAGGGAATCGCACACACACCTCACACACACAGAATCACACTCACTCACACACTATCACTCACACTAAACCAGACGCCGATGCACACCTCCACGACCACCTCCACTTGGCTGCGCGGCTCCGCCTCTCACTCGGAGGACCAACGAACCCACCACGTGGAAGCCACGAGTTAGGAGCAGCGAAGCCCTCATATACAAGCGATATCACCCGTGCCTAATTATTGATGATGATGATGATGATCATTAATGTGTTGCATATCCCCCCCGCCCTCCTCTCCCGATCACACCCCGTCATCACCACTCACCTGCATCACAGGTGTGTGTGTGTGATAATGGGTTCATTAGAGATTCGCGTAAACGCCGTCCTGTTGCGATTATGAGACGCACGGGTTTGAAAGTAAATCGGAGCGGGGTGCGTTTCATAATCGAAATGTGTACCTGTACGACGTCTTATTAACCAGAGCATATTGTGCCTCTGCAGGGGTCTGTCCAGTAGCCGTGGTTTGAATCAATTTGTCAATATATTCGTCATGAATAAATAATGACGATCAGGATTAACACAATGCCCTCATGGATAGATGGGTTACCATGAATCGATTAAACATTGATTAAACATCGATTCGTTAAGCTCTGGATTTTTCATGGATCAAGCCGCATGCATCAGACTCTGTTTATGGTTCGAGTAAGTTATATAATAGGTTCACGTGAATTCGGCATCCACTAGAAGCCGCTACTATTAACTGTACTGCAGTGTAACATAGTTGATCGATTCAAAAGTGCAATCGTGATTATTAATCGAATCTTCGTTACATCGACTGCCACTGTTGAATAATTCCACAAAAAGGCAAAGATCCCCCATTAGGCCTCCACATCATACTATTGGGACAAGTGCTGTTAGCAAGCATCTGTGAAAGCCGGCACAGCGCACGAGAGGACGACGCCCGGTCGCCTTTGTCTCCCCAGCGCTGACATTTCAACACCTTAGGCTGAATTTTGATTTGAAGCTGTCGTGACTGCAGGAATCTATACTCTTTAGTTCTTTCGGTAAAGTCACCTTGGGCTGAGTTGACTTAGGGAAAGCCCAGCACAGATTCGGACGCCACTCGCCACCGACGTTAGCCGTGACCTGGACGCTAACTTAGGGTTGCTGTGTGTCTTGTGCAAACCACTGGCCGACAAAGAGGGTGGTGGGATCCCAAAGTCAGTAACTGCGAGTTCAATTGACACACGTGGTAGTGGAGGAGTGTGTGACCTGCCCTAATGTGGCTTCCCTGGTGGTCTAGTGGTTAGGATTCGGCGCTCTCACCGCCGCGGCCCGGGTTCGATTCCCGGTCAGGGAACGAAGTATTTTTTTTAAGTACACATTTTTTTTTATAACAAACTGCGCTACAAATTCTAGATTTGAAGCTTTCGTGACTGCAAGGATTCATACTCTTAGTTTTTTCGGTCAAGTCACGTAGGTAAAAAATGAAATTAAAATTAATAAAATTATTATTATTATTTTACTTTGATTCATTTTCATTTCATTTTTACCTATGTGTAGTAAGTTGATGAGGAGACGATGAGGAAGTTGAGACACACTGTTTATTAACTCCGGGACAGATACAATAGTTGAAGGGGTATCGGCCCCTTCACCCGTACTATGGGAAACCCACCCTAGTACTAAGCCCTCTGTCCTGTCCCCCAGTCCTCCTCTACTGGGCTACGGGAGGCTGACTGATCTGGCCCTGGCAAGCACAGATCTCGGCACCAGCTAACCAGCCTTGCCCTGATAAGGGCAGCGGTCTGGAAGCTCTTGGGCCGCGCCACTGGCTTACCCGGCTCGGCCCTTATAAGGACGGCGAGACCGGGGAGTCCCAGGGCCTAATCTCCGAGTCTTGGATCTTCACTGGTCAGCTTCGTGTCGAACTGCCTCGAGCTCTTTGGGTTCCACCTTTTATAGGGATCGCCTCCGAGGGCTGGGGGCGTGGGCAATAACTGATGCGGACGTCGGTGTGACCCCCCGTGTATGTGAGTGCCGACAGCCCTGTGTTTGTTGTCCGCCGTTTCTCCCGTAATAACCCCTACATCTGTGACTTTACCGTAAAAAACTAAGAGTACGCGCTACAAATCCAGAAATCTGGCTTTGAATCACAGTCCCGGCTAACGTCAGTGGCGAGTAATATCTTAACTGCCTTTGGGCCTCCCTCCCGCCCGCTCCTTATTGACTAGAGCGTATAGTCAGACAATCCCCGTGAATAACAACGCTGTCATCACTTGCATGCAAAGACAAAGATCCCCCATATAGCCTTGGACAGAGTGTTGGGTCACGTGCAGCTGTTGGCGAGGACACGCGCACGTGATGTGGCCAGCACCACGCCCGCCCGCCTTTGTCTCCCCAGCGTTCATGTTTACACACCGCATCGGCTACTTATTTAAGGCTGAGTGGACCTCGGGGAGGCCCAGGACCGGTTCAGATCATCGTCGCTGGTGTCGACCGTGACCCAGTATCGGAACTTGGGTCGCCGGGTTTTTAGCGCAGCGCATTGGCCGCTACCCGAACCGCTACACTATCGCACACGTACACACCCGCACACGCGTGCAGGTACTCTTTGCTTTTTTCCGGTAAAGTCACGCGGGTAAAAAAATAAAAAAATAAAAATCACGACGTTTCGGGCGCAACACAAGCGTCCTTAAATTTTGATTGAAAGCTTTCGTGACTGCAGGGATTCATATTAATATAAGTATAGTTTAATTTATTTTATTATTTCCCTTCTACGTGACTTTACCGAAAGAACCGAGACTAGAAGCGTCCTTCTGCAGGTGGGGACAACTTAGCGAAAGCACGGTTGTGTTGCGCCCGAGACGTCGTGATTTAATTTATTTAAAAAAAATTTACCTACGTGACTTTACCGAGAAAAATTAACCCGTAAAAACAAAGTTTTTCACTTTAAATCCTTTATATGCGTGCCATCGGTTTTATTTTTATTATTCATTTCAGTTTTTCTTGAGTAAGAGTTTCATTTTTATCACATTGGTATTTTAAATTAAATATGAATTTTTTTTTCCTAAAAAGTGGAAAATTTTGGAGAAAAAAAAATCACGAAAATAAATTGTCACGCACAACGAGTCTGTGTGCAAAATGCCAGCTCGATTGGATCACGGGAAGTGGGTTAAAAAACGACCGAAAGATTTGCAAGTGAACTGAATATAAAGGATTTAAAAAACAAAGAGTATGAATCCTTGCAGTCACGAAAACGTCAAATCTAGTCACGTACAGATACACACGCACAAGACAAAGATCCCCCGTATATCCTCAACAGACTGTTGGGGCAAGTGCTGTAAGCGAGCAGCACCTATGAAGGCCGCCACGGCACACGAGGAGGGGGTGGGCGGTCAACGCCACGTCCGACCGCCTTTGTCTCTCCCCAGTGGCGATGTTGTTTTACACACCGCACCAGGTACTCATTTGAGGCTGAGTTGACCTGCACGCACACGGTTTCCCACCTGTGCTGTCTGAATGAGTCGCCTGGGATCCAGATGAGACCACGACTCTCCCTCTGACTTCTCACAGCGGCGCAGGAGGTGAAGACGTCGAGCGAGAATAGACGGCGTGTGCCTCGTGTGAGTTTGTGTGTAGTGTGTGGTGTGTGTGTGTAGTGTAGTGTGGTGTGTCTCGTGTGTGTAGTGTGGTGTGTGGTGTGTGTAGTGTGGTGTGTGTCTCGTGTGTGTAGTGTGGTGTGTGTGCGTGTGCCTCGTGTGAGTGTGTGTGTAGTGTGGTGTGTTTCTCGTGTGTGTAGTGTGGTGTGTGTGTGTCTCGTGTGGTGTGGTGTGTGTGTAGTGTGGTGTGTGTGTGTGTCTCGTGTGAGTGTGTGGTGTGTGTGTGATGTGTGTGTCTAGTGTGAGTGTGTGGTGTGAGTGTGTGTCTCGTGTGAGTGTGGTGTGTGTGTGTCTCGTGTGGTGTGTGTCTAGTGTGTGTGTGTAGTGTGTGTGTGTCTCGTGTGAGTGTGGTGTGTGTGTGTCTCGTGTGTGTATCGTGTGGTGTGTTTGTGGTGTGAGTGTGTGTCTAGTGTGGTGTGTGTGTGTCTAGTGTGTGTGTGTGGTGTGTGTGTGTGTCTAGTGTGTGTGTGTGGTGTGTGGTGTGTGTGTGGTGTGAGTGTGTGTGTGTGTCTCGTGTGAGTGTGTGTATCGTGTGGTGTGTGTGTGGTGTGTGGTGTGTGTCTAGTGTGTGTGTGGTGTGTGGTGTGTGGTGTGTGTGTGGAGTGTATGTGTGTGTCTAGTGTGAGTGTGTCTGGTGTGTGTGTGTCTAGTGTGAGCGTGTGTGAGTGTGTGTGTCTAGTGTGAGTGTGTCTAGTGTGAGTGTTTTAGTGTGAGTGTGTGTGTGACTAGTGTGGTGTGTATCTAGTGTGGTGTGTGTGTGTCTAGTGTGTGTGTGTGTGTCTCGTGTGAGTGTGTGTGAGTGTGTGTGAGTGTGTGTTTGTCTAGTGTGTGTGTCTAGTGTGAGTGTGTGTGAGTGTGTGTGTCTAGTGTGAGTGTGTCTAGTGTGTGTCTAGTGTGAGTGTTTTAGTGTGAGTGTGTGTGTCTAGTGTGTGTGTGTATCTAGTGTGGTGTGTGTGTCTAGTGTGTGTGTGTGTCTCGTGTGAGTGTGTGGTCAGTCTACTCTCGTGTAGCAGACATTGTGTATGTATGACTACGCTTGTGTCGCTGCGTCTAGAGTGCGCGCATAACATGCGCGTGTGTGTCTCTGTTCGCTAAGTGTCTGGCTGTATATTCTATATAATATAAGTGGCTATGGGTCTCGCGTATGATCAGATATATGTATAAGAGTGTAGAACGCCGAGTGTTTGCATTGCTGCTGTATACGAGTGGTCTTGTGTGCAGGAATAGCGTGTGATGAGTGCAGCGCACGATTTGTTAAAGCGTGCTTGTTGTTGTTGATACGTGTGATTGTTTTCGCTCTTCGTTGAGTACACAGGAGTGAGTGTGTGTGTTAGCGGAGTGGGGTGTGAGTGGAGTGTCAGCTTGTCTGCTGTGCGTGCGAGCCCACTGTGTGTGGTGTTGTGTCACTTCCCACTCTCGTTCATGCGCGACCACGCGGGTATAAGGATCCAGTGGTGCTGCATAGATTACTTATATTGGGGGGGGAGGCGGAGGGGGGTGGATAGGGGGGGCGGTCAGTGTGCACGTGCTTGTGGAATTACCCGCTAAGGGGCCGTCCATAAATGACGTCACGCGATTTTGGACGATTTTTTTTACCCCCCTCCCCTCCACCCATCGTCACACGGCGTCACAAAAAGTCAGAACCACCCTCAAATATGACGTCACAAAGCTCTGCCCCCCCCCCCCCCCCAAAAAAAAGAAACATGCTTCAAATCGCTTTAAACTATTGTCATTGCAGTGCGTATTTAATGTGGCGCTGCACTCTGATGTTGTAGGAGACAACATTTATTAAAAAGTCTATTCAATTAAGTGGAACGTGTTGTCTATATTTATTTAAAGTTGCGCATTTTGATGTGACGCCACATTTCTCCCCCCCTCCCCCCCCCCATCGTCACACATCGTCACAAATGTCTGACCCCCCCCCCCCCCCCCCCCCCCCCCCCCAATGTGCGTGATGTCATTTATGGACGGCCCCTAACAGCACTTGCCCAATCCGTTAAGACCAATAGGGGATCTTAACGGAGTGGCCAAGTGCTGTGCGCGTGGTGCCTGCCGGGGAGCGGTGGTGCAGCGGTTAGCGCTACGCTGCGCTACGAAGCCGGCGACCCGAGTTCGATTCCCGCTCACGGCCAACACCGGCGACGATTATCTGAACCGGTCCTGGGCCTCCCCCTTGGTCGACTCAGCCTCAAATTAGTGCCTGGTGCGGTGTGGAAACATCGCCACCCACGTGGCCACTCGCTAACAGCACTTGCCCCAAAGTCTCTGGAGGTTATACGGGGGGTCTTTGTCTGTGTGTGGTGGTCGGGCGTGGTGCTGGTCACCCAGCCCTCGTGTCCCGTGCCGGTCTTCATCGGTGATCGCTAACAGCACTTGCCCGAATAGTATGTTAAGGCTATACGAAGGATCTTTGTCTTTTGTGTGTGTCTGTATGGAGAGCGGTGGTGAAGTGGTTAGCGCACTGCGCTCCGAACCCGACGACCCAAGTTCGATTCTCGCTCACGATCAATATGGTTGACAAATATCTGGACTGGTCCTGAGTCTCTCCTAGGTCAGCTCGGCCTTAAACGAGTACAGCTGGTACGGTGCGCAAACATCACAGAGGAGACGAAAGATGCTGGGCGTGTTGTTGGCCACCCACCCTCTCGTGTGCCGTTCCCACCTTAATAGGTGCTCACCAACAGCACCTATCCCGACAATTTGTGACGAGCTATGCGTGGGATCTTTGTCTAAGTGTACGTCTATCTGTGTGTAACCGGGCAACCTCAGTTAAAGTCCCAGCCACGGCTAATATCAGTGACGGTGACATAACCACAGCGCTTGTGCCAGGCTAGGTACACTTTGAGGCCACAGACACACACACACATACATAAACGCATTTTCATAAATATACACATACGAAAAAGGATAAAGATCCCCCGTATAGCCTTTCCAAGCTTTTGGGGCAAGTGCTCCTGTATACACAGACAGACAAACAAAGACAAACATCCCCCGTATAGTCTTAAACAGACTTAGGGGGCAAGTGCTGTTCGCGAGCACCTATACACAGACACACACACGTACATACACAGACATATGCATACACATAAACTCCACTCGCCCCCCGCCCTCATGTACCCCCCCCTTGCCTTCTCTGCCCCCCCCCTCCCATGGGCTCGAATTGCCCGTATATGTCATCCCTACCCGTGGTGTCATCTCAGCAGTGCACATCTCACATCGACCCAAGCCCGTCAGCACCATCGCCCCCCCCCACCGCACCGCAACTCCCCCACTCGCCAGATTATTTATCAATTTATTTATTTACTTTAAAGGCACTTACGAATTCGTCAGCGTTCATCTCATTTCACAAGGCCCTCCTCTCCCCGTGCAAGATCTATAGAGAGCCGCCCTCGCGCAGAACAGAACAGACGCAGGTACCAGCTCGGACGGGTACACGCGTGGCTCCCAAAGTCAAAGAGGTGCAATATTGATTGGTTCTTTCGGTAAAGTCACGTAGAAGGGAAATAATAAAATAATAAAAATAAAACGTAATAAAATACAATTCTCACGAAGTTTCGGCCACAACGCGAGCAGCCGTCTTCAGGTGAAGAACAGGTCTGTCAGACGCTGTCTTTCCGACAGACCTGTTCTTCACCCGAGGACGGCTGCTTGCGTTGTGGCCGAAACGTCGTGAGAATTATTTTATTATGTTTTATTTTTATTATTTTATTATTTCCCTTCTACGTGACTTTACCGAAAGAACCAAGAAGATGAATCCCTGCAGTCACGAAAGCTTTAAATCGAAATTTAGGTCCAATATTGATTTGGGGCCCTTTTAAGCCAATGGCCCACAACAAAAAAGTGCGCCTTTTGGCGTCATCTGGTCGAACACCAATATGAGACGAGGCTCTAAGGAAAGCTGTCTCTGGTGTGGACCAATCAGTTTCAAAGAAAATGCATAAATTATCAGAGTATTGCTTTTTTGTTTGCATTTGACTGCAAGTATTGTGGTTAATGTAACCATGATTCCTTGCAAAATGTATCAGTTTTGTTGCCAGAAAAAAGGGGAAAACCCCTATTAGTAGACAGATATCACCAATATATCTGTCTACTAATATGTCTGTCTATAGTTTTCTGGTTAGATTTTATGTCGCTATTTCATTATACCTGATGATGATTGATTGTGTTGCAATCGAAACGTCGTAATATGCTATTATTTAATTTATTATTTTATCTTGAGACGTGACTTAACCGAAAGAACCAAATAATAATTCCTGCAGTCACGAAAGTTCTAAAATTAAGAGGGAAAACCCCTATTAGTATATTTTGGTACTGGCAAAGGAGGTCCCATGATGAAGGTTACCAAATGTCTGCTTATGCTAAGATTTAAATCCACGGTGGACAATGCACATTGTGGATACTTCTCCTTCAACGCATGGCTGCTGATGTTGTAGAGCAACAGCTGCAACTTGACATTGATGTGGTGATTCTAGATTTGAAGCTTTCGTGACTGCAAGGATTCATACTCTTAGTTATTTCGGTAAAGTCACGTAGGTAAAAAATGAAATTAAAATTAATAAAAGTAAAACAATAAAAAATAAAAAATCACGACGTTTCGGAGGCAACACAAGTCTCCGTCATCAGGTGGGACCGTCACAGCCAGATTTGCTGCATCATGTGACGGTCCCACCTGATGACGGAGACTTGTGTTGCCTCCGAAACGTCGTGATTTTTTTTATTTTTTATTAATTTTAATTTCATTTTTTACCTACGTGACTTTACCGAAAGAACTAAGAGTATTGAGGTGGTGGTTGAGCCAGATGATTGTGCCAGGAGTTGCGGAGTGTATCGCTGTGATGATCAACATGAGAGCCTTGCAGGAGGAATCCGATGAGCTATGAAGCTCTTTTTCACTGATGTCCAATATGAGCGGATTAGCAAGTTACAGCAACAATAACAACAACCATAGGAGTGCAAAATAGAGGTAAAAGTTAGCAAGTCACTCAATATAAACAAAATATATAAAAGTAATTCATTATTATAAAAAAAAAAAAATTTCCCTTCTACGTGACTTTACCGAAAGAACCAAGAATATGAATCCCTGCAGTCACGAAAGCTTTAAATCAAAATTTAATTCATTATTACCATATTAAAAAACCCAATGGGTAATGAATACCCGTTGTAATTTATATGCACAATTTTGATTTGAAGCTTTCGTGACTGCAGGAATCCATACTCTTTGGTTCTTTCGGTAAAGTCACGTGGGTAGAAAATAAAATAGATCCCGACGTTTCGGGCGCAACACACAAGCATGAGTCATCATGTGGGAAAGCGTGGCCAGCTGCAGCAGACCTGATGACGGACGCTTGTGTTGCGCCCGAAACGTCTGGATCTATGTTATTTTATACCCACGTGACTTTACCGAAAGAACCAAAGAGTATATGCCTTCCTCAAGAGATGAGATTGCATCTTGAATCCCTGCCTCACTTGATGCAGCAAATCTGGCTGTGACGGTCCCACCTGATGACGGAGACTTGTGTTGCCTCCGAAACGTCGTGATTTTTTTTATTATTTAACTTTTTTATTAATTTTAATTTAATTTTAATTTAATTTTTTACCCACGTGACTTTACCGAAAGAACCAAAGAAAGTATATGCACACATCAACACCCCCCCCCCAACTTCGCACTAAAAGGCTCACAAGTGACCTCATCAAATCTATCCATTTAAGGAATGAAACAGGAGGAGGATTTCATAATCAACGTTTTTGGGTTTAGATCGCGTTATTTATAAATGTGTCGTAACCTTCCACCACCCGACACGGCCAATCAGTAAAAAAGTGTCACGTTGACAAAAGACAAATAGTTCACTGCTTTAGCCCACCGGAGTGTTGAAGCCACAACATTTACAATTTGAGTACGACGTTTCGCTGGTAATTGCATCCAGCATCATCGGGCAATTCGCCAGAATGGTGAGGCTCTGCTGTGTCTCCCGTTCTTATATAGAGCAGCAGCAGGGTGACGTCATCATCAATTCATTAACTCATCAGGTGCAAAGATTCAAGGAGGAGGATTTCTCCACAAATCTGGCTGCCGCCTGATGATGCCGGTTGTAATTACTGGCGAAACGTCGTACTCAGATTGTAAGTGTTGTGGATTTGCTCTCCAACACAGCGGTGCACTCACTGTACTAGTAACGAATTGGCACGTTCTGTTCACGTGACAAACCTTACTAATTGGCTGTGTCGGGTTGGTGGCGGGTTTATAGACAACATTGATATATTTACGTGATCTAACCCAAAAAAAAACTATATTATGGATCAATTATTATATAACTCAGATTTATAAAGCTTGGGCAAGGCAGCAAAAACAACAAAACAGTCTCAGACCACACCAAGATGACACCACAGAGTAGTAGTCTATGGGTCCCTACATGAGTCTATG